AGGAAATACGTCATAGAAGTAGTCAAGTAGTCAAATGCAAAGACTGCAAGTGTGGGTATTTGGACAAGGCATCAGTGTTTTTAACAAATCCGGTGAGTGAATATTTCAAAGAATAAATAGCTGGTTATAACCGCAAAAGACACGCAAAACTATCCCCACCTACTGGCGTAATGTTGTAACCTGCAACAAGAAACACTGAACGAACCAGAGTGAAATGTTTTGGAACGGATTCTAAAGATTAGAATCGAATGCGATGGATCACAAAAAATAAATAAAATAAAATTATATATATATATATATATATATATATATTGGGAGAGTAAATAGAACTGAATTAGAATAGAACAGAATTTCTTATTTTAAATGTGGTCATTATTGCCAATGGAATAATTAACCCAAATAATAAATTAATATATTGACATAGGCTATATTGAATGTGTATATGGTTTTCTAAGAGATTTTATCACACAACTAAATCTGTTGAATGTATATAGGCTACTTTCAGAGCTCAAAGTAATCCTAGAGGATTTTTTTTTGTTAATTTTTGCCACTGTCTCCATAAAGAAAGTGAATGCAGACATATGCACGTTCCTCATTGAATATTTGAGACTAGATTGATTGACTGATTAAATGGATTCATATTTTTTGTGAGCGCTTCCCTTTAGCTTTGAATTTTCTATAACCTATGACAAGTCTCATCAGGTTTTGACAGCCACACACATACCAGAGATGAAGGCTTGAGGCCAATTCATGCTGTCTTCCTCCATTTGCACAATATGTTTGTTGTACAGTAATCCAAGTTTTTAGCCAAAGATGTGGCACTGCTGCCCCCTACTGGCAAAGACTGGTTGCTCTTGGAAAGGCTGTTGTTTCATGACATCAACACATTATTGACATAATTCCAGCAAGCGACAAACATTTGTATGAAATGAGACCATACAAAATGTAATCACAAGAAAAATGAAATCAGGGTTATTCATGTCCTGTGATTTATTATTATTATTAATATAAATATTTTTAAAAAAAACAGTGTGTGATTTGAGAAACTATATAGGGAGATGTTCCTGGCAGATGATTTCTTAGCAATAAACATTACAGATTGTATATTGTGGTACAGAATTATATGGCATGAAATCTGCAGGTTATATGGATTTGAATCATACACTTCAGCAAATATTAGCAGCACAAAACTTCGAACATAAACCTGGTGTTTTAATTCGAGTGACATGTTAGTGTGTGATGGGTTTGTTAGAATTAAATTTGCACAAAGGGAAGATACTCATGCAGTACTGAAGTACTGAAAATACATGTGCGGATTCAACAGAGTGCAGTGTTGATGGCCATCATATTGAATCATTTCCTGCTGTTAGGTGCGATCACACTCGACTTTGTTTTCCATTCGCTTCTATTCATATGCATGCAAATATGGGAGACCGAGAACGCACGCATATGTGCTGAAGATTCGTCTTTTGCTGTGTATCAAAATTTGGTGACCTGTGAATTCATAAAGATGTTTGATCAATAGAAGATGTAAATGTCAAACAGAAATATATATTTTTTGCATACTCCAAGTGTAGTGTGAAAGCACCTTTAGGCAGAAAGATTTTGAAAAGGGGCCTGAACAACAACAACAACAACAAAATGTCTTGGAGCTTAAAACAGAAATGCTCAGTTTTGCTTCTTAAAGGCATAGTTCACCAAAAAAATGAAGATTCTGTCATTATTTACCAACTCTCATGTCGCTCCAAAACGTACTTGCTTTCTTCCATGGCCTATCCTGGCCACTCTTTTCAATACAATGCACATTAAGTGATGGGAACTGGGCCTGTCAAGCTAGACAATGATAAAAAAGCAACATAAAAGTTTCATAAAAGTATATATCAGGACTTCAGAGGTCACATGATAGCTTTGTGCTTATTTTAAGTTTTTATTTACTTAAAATATTGCATTACACCTTGATGTGTTCCTGTGTTATTTTAGTATTTTATATATTAGTATTACACATTATTCATATTATAAATACTACAACAGTATATAAATGTACATACTTTATTTTGAATTAGTTTTAAATTATTATATTTTCAGTTTTTATTTTAACTTCGGTTTTAGTAATTTAGTTGTTTTGTCACTTTTATTAGTTTTTGAGTTTAAAAATGTTTATGTAGCTTTTTTTTATTATTACTTGGTTGTCATTGCAACATTTCTAATTTCTAAGTGTTTTTTTGTTTGTTTAGTTAAGGTTTTTCATCTAATACTTTATTTTATTTCAGCTTTCGTTCAATCACTGAAAACAACTGTTTTAATTTTAGTTAAATAACACTGATGTGTTCATGAGAATTAGCGAAGTCCAATTAATGACTGACTGAATTCTTTTGAAATTAGTTTATTATTATTTTTTTTTTTACAATTTCAAAAGGCATTATATAGCACACAAATCATTTTTATTAAACTTACATGACAGTTTTATGCATCTTATGTCCTAATATCCTAATGTTATCGTTCCTTTGTGTCGTTATTACAGTTTCGGTGTGGACTTCCTTTTTTCACAGAATTAGAACTATTATTAAAACTTCATAGTTATCATTATAGTTATCGACCTTGGTGTGAACGGGCCTTTAATGAGGACAGAATTTTCATTTTTGGTGATCTATTTCATTAAGATCAGCCTCATCACATTCTCATCAGTCTTTTTCAAATGAACCCAAAGACTTCGATTAGGTAGGTCTGAAAGGTTTAGATATGTTCAACTTAAACTCGGAAGTCAGTTCTGCTGGAAGGTTCACGACTGAGCACCCCTAAAAGACTTTTAAATGGCTAGTTCACCCGAAAATGAAAATTCGGTCATTATTTATTCACCCTCAAGTAGTTCCAAACCTGTATGAGTTTATTCCTTCTGCTGAACAAAAAAGAAGAGATTTTGAATGTGGTTAACCAAACAGCTGACGGTAGTCATTGACGTCCATAGTATTTTATCCATATAATGGAAGTCAATGGGGACCATCGACTGTTTAGTTACCCACATTCTTCAAAATCTCTTTTTATGTTCAACAGAAGAAAGTAACTAATATAGGCTTGGAACTGCTTGAGGGTGAATAAATGATGACAGAATGTTCACTTTTTTGGGTAAATTATCCTTTTAACCAAAGTCTTAAGGTCTTTGCACCGAGTCCGAAATTTTCGCACGTTATGAAATATGAAAAAAATTTCGGATTCAAGTGTGCAAGGACCTTTAGGGGTTTGGAAGGACATGAGGGTGAGTAAATGATAATAGAATTTTCATTTTTGAAAATGAAATCCCTTTAACGGACTGTTGATGGACAATGCGTATAATGACATTCAAGATATCAAAACAGCTGCTTTACATTCCGCGTCCATTAGCGTCCTCCACGTTTGCGTCCTCCTATTCCTCTGGGTTTCTGTGATCAGATGAGACACTAGCAAAAAGCACGTCGCTCTCCAGCGACAGGTTGCTGCCCAGACCGGCGATGCGGCTGCGCAGCAGAAAGTGAGTCCTGCGCTGCAGCAGCCGCTGCTGCTCCTGCTTGAGCTCCACGTAGGAGCGCGAGAACGTGTGGAAGATGGAGGTGACGGGGAACGCCATGAGCAGGATCCCGCTAAGGATGCTGCTGAGTGCGACCACCTGTCCCGGGATGCTGCGCGGCACCATGTCACCGTAACCCACCGTGGTCATGGTGATCACGGCCCACCAGTACGTTGCAGGAATGCTACTGAACTCTCGCGTGGCCCCGGCCTCGTTCTCGATCAGGTAGAGGAGCGGCGAGAACAGCGCTATGGCCACGCAGAGGAAGAGGAGGAGCAGGCCGAACTCCCGCGTGCACCGGCGTGCCGTCAGCCCGAGCGTCTGGAGTCCGAGCGAGTGGCGCGCCAGCCGCATCACGTAGAGGATGCGTAACGCCCGCAGCACGCGCAGCACCAGGCCCACTTTGTCCAGGTAGCTGCTGCCCGAGCCCAAGCGCTTCTCGCCCGTGGAGGTGCTGTCCACCACCAGCGTGATGTAGTAGGGCAGGATGGCTATGACGTCGATCAGGTTGAGCGGCCGCCGGAGGAAGGCCAGCTTGCTGCGGTCTTGGATGAAGCGCAGCGTGAACTCCAGCGAGAACCAGGCCACACACACTGTCTCCACGATGAAGATGTTGTAGCACATCTGAGAGCATTTGCCCTGAAACAGACGAATTGAAAGTTGTATATGTGAACCACCATTTAAAAGTCTTGATGCTTTTACTTAGCAAGGAAGCATTAAATTGACCAAAAGTGACAGTTCAGACATTTATGATGTTGCAAAAGATTTCTATAAATGCTGCCCTATTGAACTTTTTATTCATCAAAGAATCCTGAAAAAAGATGAATATGGTTTCCACAAACATATTAAAGGGGTCATATTATGCAATTTCAAGTTTTCCTTTCTCTTTGGAGTGTTACAAGCTGTTCGTGAATAGATAAGATCCCTAAAGTTGCAAAGACTAAAGTCTCAAACCCAGAACCTTAAACCGCATAAACACATTTCATTACACCAAATACACAAAACAATGTTCTTTTTAGCAATGTCATATGACCCCTTTAAGAAACACAACTGTTTTTAATATTGATAATAATAAGAAATGTTTCTTGAGCAGCAAATCAGCGTATTAGAATGATTT